ATATATATATATGTCTCCAATGTATATGCATATATTTCTACTCATCAAGTGATTTCTGATGTCCATCTGTATTGTGGGCTAAAAATGCTGCCTTGCTTACTGCAGATGATGTCTCTGTAAAGGAAACCATATAATGCAGTGAAAGTGCCCTGAAAAGTCAGTCCATGCCCTAGAAATAAGTTAGTATTATTACACATGTATAATGAGGCTAAACAAGGAGCTGGCATGTGCTGTTAGAAATGCCTGCTCATCTCAGAACTGTTCCTTTGGTATATAGCTGTCTTTTATATAAAGCTGAATATACCTGTGTTTAAGAGACTGACTGGTGTTTCATTATGTGCTTAGGTAGTGTGTAGGTGAATGCTGTTTCGTCATTTGGGGGGCAATTTTCTTTCATTCCTTCAACCAAACAAGCACTATAAATGGCATCATTAACTCAACACCTCGCTACACTCTCCGTTATCCTTAGGAAAGGCAGCCAACGAATACCAAAAACCCACAGGGAAGTGAGGCATGCAGAGGGCTGTGGAAGTACCAGGCGTGAAATCTGAGAAACAGGAGAAAGTTGATGATAGGAGCCAGAGCAACACCTTGTAAGGGAGCAGGCCCTTTTAGTGTTAACCACCGCCTCTCTCCTCCAACTCAGAGCTTCAGATCTGACAAAACTCTAGTCTTTGATAGAAGGAGTAGAGGGTTACATACCTAGGGACACATCCATGACTTTTGCTTTTTGGGTTATTGGGTGTGGGCTTGTCAACGAGACATCTTAAGTCTTTGGGGCTCTCTGTTGGTCAACTTCTGGCCTCAGTCATTTGGAAGCCTGAATCCCATGTTTTTAAGAGGAATTCCTATTTTATTCTTTCCTCTGTTCCTCTTCTTTCTCTGCTCCTATCTCCCAGCCCTGTCCCCTTCCTAAGGCCATTGCCTCTCTCTCTCTCTCACTGAAGCTGAGCTGAGCTGAACATAACTTCTTTTAAAAACCCAACGTGCCATGGAATGGTTAGGAAAAGTGACACTAATAAACTAGCCTAGGCTCAAGGGAGAGAGATCAAGAGCCTCTCTCATGTTTGACTACCTTATTTTTTTCTAAACTGCCTAAGCCAAGTCACTGAATGGGGGAAGAAATCAGGAATTTGAGAGTTCTTCCAACGAGAGTGAAGAACCAAACGAACAGCTTTATGCTGTGACTCCTGAGCAGTAGAGAGTGACAGCTGGAGTGCAGGAGGGTGAGAAACCTCATCCCACGTGCCCAGGTTTTCCATGTTTACTTTCATAACTTACTGTCACACCTTGTACACCCCCGAAGTATAAGTAATGTGTCTGTGTTTTACATAGACTTTTTTTCCTACTTTTTATTATGTGAATTATGTGAAAATACTTTCTATTTTCTGATATCTGAATCAGATTGAGTGAGTACAGATCACACACCAGTCCTTATAGATTAGATATATGTGATATTGTGATTTATAATAAGAATTATATATTTGGTCTTTGACCTCATTTCTCACCCTGAGCTCCTAAAACCCTTGGCATCTGAGTGATGAGAAAAACAAAGGTATCTTTTGCTATGTTAATAAAACTTGGGAGGAGAGGTTGTTTATAAAACTTGGGAGGAGAGGTTGAGGATCAATCAACAAGGGCTAATAATTTAATCAGTTATGCCTATGTAATGAAGCCGCCATAAAAAACTCAAATGAGAGCGTCCAGGTTGGCATGCATGTGGAGCCTTGGGTGACGGCAGGAAAGCTCCACGCCCTATCCTCATCACTGGTCTTGTGCATCTCTTCCACCTGGTTGGCTGTTCCTGAGTTACATCATTTTATAATAGCCAGTGATCTAGTGGTAAAATATTTCTCTGAGTTCTTTGAGGCGCTCTAGCAAATTAATCAAGCCCACCTCTGCTCTCTAACTGGCCAGTCAGAAGCACAGGTAACCACCTGGATTTGCCACTGGCATCTGAAGTGGAGGGCAGTCCTGTAGGACTGAGCCTTTCACTGGTGGAATCTGATGCCATCTCCAGGTAGACAGTATCAAGACTGAATTGAATTGTAGGACACCCATTTGGTGTCAGAAAATTGCTTGGGGGTATAAGGACATACCCCCTCTCCTCTTTTACCCTCCAGCCCCCACATTGGAATTGGAATCAGAACACTCTTAATATGGTTAGGCTACCAGTCTCTGTCTAATCACCAATAGGAAGCTTGGACATGGGTCAAAGGTCATCATTAATATATAACCCTATCTATTTCCCATCTCACCCACCATTTGCAGCTTCATGTTATGGCAAATGATGATTTAGACACATTGTCCAAACAAAAAAAGGGATGACAGAAAGCAGAAGAGGTTGAGTGTCTCTGACTCAGGCTCTGATTTCCTACGTGAATATTTGTGCAATTTAAAATGATAAGGGTAAAATACACCCCATAAACATTGCAATAGTTATGAGTTCTGGAAAATGAACATTTTCTTTTCTTAGTCAATGTGTGCATTAAGGTTTTGTTTACAAGGGCCTATGGGTCCTTGTCTTAGTTTTTCCCATTGCTGTGTGCTGGGAAGGATAGATGTTGCTACAAATAAGGCTCATGGGAAAGGCCCTGTCCCTTATACCCTGCATGCCTCACCTGAGAAAAGGTGCCACACGCAGTCATTAAACAAAGGGTATGAAACAAGGTGTGTG